TCAATCTAAAATTAGAAGACAGAATAGTACTTATATATGAAAATTGTACCACAGTAAAGTCAATGAAACAACAATTAACATTATTTGAATTGCAAGTAATATCAGCCTACTTTATGCACTTACTTTGCTGTTGAAAGTTAAAATAAGAAGGAACGTCTCTATTCCCACACAGATTTGCAGAGGATATGTTTTCTGAGCTCAGACTACGGTTCAAGGAGAGTTTTTGAGATCTCAGTGCAAGTGCAAAAGAGATTTCCATATTTCAGAATCCATTTAACTGTGCAATTGAGGAACTTGCACCTCACCTTCAATTGGAAGTAATTAATCTGCAGTGTAATAGCATGCTACAAGACATGTATCAGGAAGAAGAATCTAATGGAATTTTTTAAATGCCTTCTAAGCAATGAATATGTTTAATTAAAATCACGTAATTATGGATTGATGTTATTACTTGACAGTACCTCTGGAAAGTACTATGTGGAAAGATGTTTTCAAAGATAACATATGTAAAATCTTACTATAGTTCAGTATTAACAGTTGGACATTTGCAAGGGAACGTTAACTTTGGGTACCAATGAAGCACAGTTTTCCCTCCAAAAAGAAATCCATCTTTTCTTTCATTAGTAGGCCTGCATTATTTTTTTTTAAATTATACTGTATTATTATTGTTATTGTTCATCCAGAAAAGATTATGGAAATTTGTTTTCTCTCTGGTTAAATACCAACATATTATCCTTGATTTTGTCTCTTGTCCTATAAAGCCTAAAATATTTACTATCTGACCCTTTACAAAAAAGTCTGCTGCCCCTTGACCTAGATTATTGTATGAGCTTCCTAGTTGGTTTCCCTCCTAATGGTGTCTGCCCCATCTAGTCCGCCCTTCACCTAGCTGCCAAAATAATCTTCCTAAGCCACAGGTTTTAGAAATTGGCCATGTAACTTACCTCATTAAAAACCATCAGTGACTGTTGGTGGTATGGTCAATTGGTTCATCCATTCAAGAAAGTACTTTGGAATTATGCTAAGAAAGTGACTAAAATACCCTTTGACCCAGAGATTACACAGGTAGGCATATACCCTAAGGAATTCAGTGACACAAAGAAATGTCCATTTACACCAACATATTTACAACTCCACTTTTTATAAGAACTGGAAACAAAGTAGATAGATGTCCATCCATTGGGACATGGTTAAATAAGTTGTGGTATATTAATGTAATAGAATGGTGTGTACTATAAGAAATGATGAATACGGAGAAGCATGGGAAGACATATATACTAATACAAAATGAAGTAAGTAGAACCAGGAAAACAGTATACTCAGTGATTACAACATTGTAAATGGAAAGATCAAAAACAACACCGAAACTGGGGATGCAGTTTTAATACCCAAGCCTGGACATGAAGAAGAGATGGGAGAAGACACCTGTCCAGCTTCTTACTAGAAGTAGGGCACTATGTGTATGGAATACTACATATAATGTTAAACTTTTTCAGTGTATTGGTTGGTTTTGCCATCAGAACAGTTTTAGGATATTCAGCAAGTCAAGCAGTTAGGTGCTTATTTAGCATTTTGGCTCACATTGGAATCTAGGACTCCATTTCTGATCACTGAACTGGCCTTGAAAAAGGAAACTTCTAGCACTTTGTATTCCAAGTTGCTTGGGAGCTAAATGTTCAATGCTTTTTTTTTTTTTTTTTTGCATTTTTACAGATAATTTCTCCTTCCTAAGTCCTCCCTTCCCCCTTCCCATTTGAAACAAAACAACTTCTCTCTTGTAGCAAATAAGCACGTTCAAGCAAAACAAATCCGTATAGATCATGTCCACAAATGTGTATCTCAGTCTGTTCCTTAAGCTCTGCACTTCTCTTGTCAGGCAGTAGATGTTAAAATAAGTAATGAAGTAAAATATATGCTGTTTTAATTATTGAACATTTTACACACAGAAAAAATAAATTGTATTATCTAGGTCTGCAAATGTCATTTCCCTACAGTAGGAAGAGCTATTTTTCCAAGTTATTTGGATCTTTCCATTAATATGTAAAGCAGTTTTTAATGACCAAGTATATTAGAATGCACATTTTTAAAAATTGTGTTATAAGAAATGGTGAAAAAGATTCAGAGAATCCTGGGAAGACTTCTGTGAACTGATGCAAAGTGAAGTTAGCAAAAATTCATACAAAAATTACATTATAAAAGAAAAACAACTTTGAAAGGCTTAAGAACTTTTATCAATTCAGTGACCAGCCATTACTCTGGAGGAGTGAAGATGAAGCATGTTATGCATGACAGAGAGGTGTGGGAATGGAGGCCACTTGAAGATAGACATTTTGGGGTGTAGTTTTGCTTAAACTGTGTTTTGTTTTTGTTTTTTGCAAGAGGGATTCCTTTCTCCCTCCCCCAATTTGGGGGGAGATTTGGGAAGAAGAAGGGGATTATCAACAAGAATGGAAGGAAGGAAGAGAAAGAAGGTCATTGTAGCATTTTTAAAATGAACAGAATAGAAAAACGTTTCCCCTCTTTATTCTTTGTAAGAGGTGGGGGGTAAATAAGCAGAACATTTTGGGAAATATATGTAATGTAAAAATTGAAACTTATCAACAAAATTTCATTTTAAAAAACCTTCAATGGATCCCAGCCATCTCTAGGAAAAAATGCAAACTGAAGATTGGCATCTAAGACCTCCAAAACCAGACTCTAACCATCCTCTTTGTCTTAAGCTTGACTGTTATTGTGCCCCTTATAAATATTCTTCCTTGCAACCAAAGTGGCCTAGTATCTGTTCACTGACATCAATATGCCATCTTCTATCTCTGCTTACCTGCATAGGCCTTTCCCCAATCCTGCAGGGTATTACTTCCTACTTTCAGCTTCTCACAATCCTTATCAACTCAAGGGCTGCTTCTCCAGAAGCCTTTCCTGATCCCCTCCAGATATTAGTGTATTCTGTCTCCTAATATTAGAAAACTTTGATCTTCCCTTTGCTCTTTTTCTCTCCCTACTCCTTTTAAGGGCAGGATTTAATAGTAATACTAATCTAATACGGATAGAATCCTAGTTAAAAGATACTTGATGCTTAATTTAGTAAGTCAAGGCATTCTCTTCTGCAAAACACCTTAGAATTCAGGGTGCCAGAAATTTCCCTTTACCAGTTCAGAGTTTAGAAATAGAGTCCTGGGTTCTAAGCTGTGCCCAAAATGCTAAAGTACCTGATTGCTTGATTAATTGAATGCCCTATAAAAAGTACATTCAACAATTCGAAACCTAATATTAGAGCCAAATAAATTGCCCAGTACTGTGGGTTTATTTTTCAGATATGCTTTATTGGGGCAGCTAGGTGGCGCTGTGAATAGAGCCCTGGACCTGAGTTCAAATCCGGCCTCAGACCAAACATTTGACACTTACTAGCTGTGTGACCCTGGGCAAGTCACTTAACCCCAATTGCCTTAAAAAAAAAACAAACAAATATGCTTTATCGTTGACTAGCCTTCCTCTTACTGTTTTTTTAAGTAGGTTTGTCTGTTACAATAATAGAGAAGTGAGGATCTTCAGTGGTCAGTGGTCCTTGTCCTGACTTATTTTTTAATAAGGCAGGTTGAATTTGACTTATTTAAAGTCAAAGAATATCGAAATCAAGTTGGAGTATTGGCGGTCATTCCGCAGAACTCCTTGACAATTCCATCTGAATACACTGTAACAGCTGCAATGAACTGTGCATTTCTCCCTAATTTGTTGCTCTTTCCTTGCAGGCTCAGTGTTCCCGAAAATACTCCTTTCACGGCAGTCTTAAAGTTTGCTGCAGAAGAAGTAAGTGTAAAAATCATTATTAGTTAGCACAGGTTATTGCCTTCATCTTATAAATTAGATAATAAAGTAATTACTAGTGGAAAGAGCACTAGGTTAGAAATAAGGATCCATGGGTTCTAGTCCCTGCTCTGCCTAACTAGTAGTTTAACAATGGACAAATCATTTAACCTCTTTTAAGTCTGTTTTTTCATGTGTCAAATGTCAGTCTTTAAGATTCTTTTCAGTTCCAAAATTCTGTGGTAATCAGAGACCATGATTGCTAATGAAAACTTACCTTGGAATTGGAAAAGAGGTCACCTTAATTACTTCATTTTATAAAATTCATATATGTCTTTTGACATGATATCCTGGCCAAAGAACTAATACTTGTTAACATCTAGCAGAGAAGTATGAATAATATGAATTATTTTAGTAAGATAGTCTGCTTAAATTAGAGTTATTTATAAATATGGTCTTCAGTTTTAAAATATGGTTCAGCCATTACTTCATTTTCTTACCTGATGAAGGAATAAAGTCTTAGTTATTAGTCCTGACAATAGAAGTTTAAGAACTATAATTCATTTTAAATTGTTAATTTTATACTGAAGATATTAGCTAGTTTTAAAATGTTTTCAAATAGTAAACAAGATAATTACAAATTCAGTTTGGAATAAATGAACATTTATTTTTTTCCAAACTTTGAATTAAAAATACTGCAATTTAATTCAATGAGGACAGAGAGCATTTTAAGTTTATCTTTGTTTCCTCAGCATCTAGCATAGTTCTGTGTGCATAATTGGTGCTTAGTAAATGTTTGTTTGGTTAAATTGCACTATATGATGTGCCTTTTGCTTTTTCTTCAGTTTGAGGTGATTAGTAGTTATGTAATACTGCCATGTTTAGCTTATAGAACAATTACATTTTGGGCATATCAGGTCCATTGTCTCTCTTGAAGATATCACATAGGGGATAGATTGATGTTCTTGGAGTCAAGAAGACCTGAGTTTTATCCTGCTTCAAACACTTAATAGAGATGTGACCCTTGAAAAGCCACTTGAACTCAGCCTCAGTTTCCTCATCTGTAAAATAGGAATAATAATAGCACCTTCCTCACAGAGTTATTGTAAAAATTAAATGAGATAATATAGGTAAAACATTTTGAAAACCTTAAAGTGCTATATAAGTGTTAGCTTATAGATAGCGCATGTTTATATAGCTCATGTGCCTGTAGTAAAAGATATTGTTAAATATGTGATATTCTTTCACTAATTGAAGAACAATGATAAAACTAATTTACTCAGCAAATTAAACACTGAGTATAGAGCTGTGTTAGACACTGGAAAATTCACTAACATATCAGACCAAATGGTGAAGACTGCTCATAAAAGTAAATGACATCAGAGTAAATGAGATGACCATGGAGAATGGAATATGTCAAGTGCCTGGAGCTTATGATATGGGCAAAAAGTAAGTTTAGTGTGAGTGAGATTGTGGAGGGGGCAGGGGGAAAGCTGGAAGGGTGGAAGGTTGTCGTCAAAGTAGAACTTCAAATTTCCAGATCTTGGAGGTAATGCACTTAATTCCAACAAATAAGGGGTTTGATGTATAACGGTGTCAATGCATGTATAACTTCAGTGGGATGGAGGAGGTAAATAAAGTTAGTAAATGACACCGACAAAGGTGGAAATATGGAGGTATACATAGATTGTATGACTTCAGAAGATGAAAGGTCACTGAGAAATGTTGATAAGAGAAATGACCTCAAAGTAACTATGGAGAGGAGAGAATATGCACAACCTTCTACCTGGTAGTGTGAGTCACAGATATTGGGATAACCGGTTTCCAGTGGAGAGAATTGTAAGGAATGTGGCATCTTTAGCACAATGGAATAAATGCTTTATTGAATAAATGGGTCTATTGGGTGGGCTACAGCAGAGGCAAATTAAGTAGGAATGGTCCTTGGGAGGAGTAGGGCTGATTAAAATAGAGATGATGATTCAGGAAGAAGTGATTTGGACACGCAACAGGCACCTAATATTATAGAGAATATTAATAGGGGTTGGAACAAAAGGCAGATTGCTCCTACGTGCTCTATAGGCTCTACTTATTGTTGAGAGTGTGTCTTCAGGGAATGACAGAAGAATTGGGACAGGGGGACCGGTAGCTAATAATTTGGGGGTCTTTGTGATATCATGAAGTCTCAACCCCAGGTGTGTTGTGACTAGTATACCCAATTTTATGAAATTCAGATTCTTGTAATCAAGTACTGAGATTCAGAAAAGTGATTGGAGAGCCAGAGAAGAGATTGTGGTGTCATTAAGTCAAACTTGAAGAAAAAAGGAAAGAAAAGGCCTGGGGAGTAGAGGAAGGAAGGAGTAGAGGAGGAAATCATAAAAATGTTCTGTATTCAGGATGAAGTTATTACTTCAAAAGTAGTTATAGTATTGTTTTTTTTTTCTTATTTTTGATTTGACTTTTGATTTGCTACCTTACCTCATTCCCAGAAAGAAAGAAAAAATGGCAGTGTTTGCTTTTCTGTTAATAACTATGGGACACATTGCCAAGAACTAGTATCAGCTTCCCACACAGGTATGACTTAGAAAATTATATGGCCTTTGCTTAAAATGAATATGATTTAAGAAAAGTGAGACTCAGTAGGGTTACAAAGCTTCTTTTATAATCCAGGTTTTGTAAACCTGAATTGGTTATTGAAGTTTGTTGGAGTATTTGGACAAATTTCTATGTGACTTCACTTATAACTTTGAAAAGGTGCTTTGCAAAAAATTTAAAAGTACTTTAATTATATATTGGATCTAGAAGTACTTTTGACTTTTCCTTTTATATAGCATTTATTGTTTGAAATTTGAGATTTTAAAATAAATTACGTTGTAAGTAAGAAAAATGTGCAATAGAAAAAAATTTATATAGTACAATAATCTCTAACAAATAAGCAGTAAGTACAATTTTACTTTTACTTTTATTCAAAACTTTAATTTCCAAAGCAGTGCATTATAGTCTACATAGTTGTAGTTATTTTTACTTGTATATATGTAAGTTACTGTTAGAAATCAGCAGATAATAAAACTAAGACTTTCAGATATCAGCTATCTAATGAGATTTATATTTAGACAACATAAAAAGTCCTTAATATATGCAGATTAAAGCATTTTCTCTATTAGCTAAGTTCTGCAATTCTGGTTTGCATCATCGGGATTTTTTATTTATGCACTACAGACTATTGTTATTATTGCAGATTTTAAGATGATTTCAGTTTGTAAAAATGATTTTTGCCATTTCTCTCCTTTAGTTTAAAGTTCCTGCAGCAACAAGTGCTATAATTACAAATGGTAAGAGTTCTTTTTAGAATCACATTATAACAGCTACAGTGAATGAGTAAGAAGAAAGAGACAAAATTTATTTAAATTGTCTTAAAACATACATTTTCCTAATCTATGTAACCATCATTGTCTTATATATTGATGTAAAGGATAAGTACAGGAATCACAGAAGTCTAAAAAAAGGTTTAATCAGTTCTCAAGTTCTTCCATAATTTTGGCACAGCCAAGCTAATTTTTAAATGTTTTGTGACCCTATTTGAACATACTAGATTGCTATGGGAAACCTCATTTGGGGTGGTTTATATTTCCGTTTGACATGTTTCTTTCATAATTGAAACTGTATCATGTTAGATCAGAAGGTTGCTCTTCTTCTGCTACTTTGTCCTTTATGCCCCTGTGAGAGAGAAAGCTACCAAAAAATTGATTGATAGAGAAGGCTGAGGGGAGTTTTACCAGTTTTCAAGAATACCGTGGAAAATTTTATGTGTAGTAGTGAGTAGTTTAATTTCCACTAAATACATGGTAAGAGAGAAAAAGCTTAATCTGCATTTGGGATTATGTTAGACTTTAGAAAGAACTCATGGTAACAGCTGAAATACTCTTTGTATCAAATATTGTTGTGGAATCTTTTTTGGAAATATTCAGAAAAGGCTAGAACACTCTCCTTGTAATTCAAGGAATTGATATACATGACTTTGAAGTCTCTTCTACCCTTAAGATTCTGTGTCTAAGAGGAATATTGAAATGATAATTCAATTATCAGAAGAGCTTTTAGTTTCTTGGAATGAAATTGCTATGTATAATTTATTACTGTATGTTGCAGGATATAAGTTTAAAATTTTTTTGTGCAACTGAATTGTTTCTATAATTGACAGAAGACCCAACCCATCAATAGCTATATTAGATGATTACCTGAAAGATAGATATTTATGTTTTTGTATTTTTTTAACCTTTGTTTATATACCTAGTGAAGCTATTTTAGGTTAAAACTACTGTAGATACTTAGAAATTTGGTCTAACTGGATATATTTCATTTAATTTTAAAAACTGTTTTACAGATGGAATAGGAATAAATCCTTCACAGACTGCTGGTAAGTGTCCAAAAATTCTTCTTGAAAATGTTTAGTAGTTTTACTTTTTATTGATTCAGATATGCTTTTTGACAACTATTTTGTAACCATTAATTCTTTTTATAGCAACTAAAAACTAAAAACTTACTTATCTAAGTAAGTCGATATTAACTTAATTCATTGTGTCCATTATTACACATATGGAATTTAGCCTTTTAATAAAATTCATTTGTACATTTTAAAAGACAAAAAAGAAACATACCTAAAGCATGAAATCCTGTACCAAATAAAATTCCTGTCAGTTTGTTTAGCACCTAAGGAGTTCCAACAAAATGTCAGCTTGCATAGCAGGGATATGATAGAATTGTGTGTATTTATATATCCCCCAGTAGATAGATTTAAATCTGTAAAAATTATCATATATACTTTAGTTTAAAAAGAAATATAATAAATTTAATAGGCAACTTTGTTAGTTATAAACTTTTTTTAAAAATCTAGTTATTGTGTTTGTTGAAATTTAGCATGCCTGGTACTTCATAATGTCTTTGGCAACAGTCATTTAAAAATAATTAACATTACATAATGAAATGTTTAACTAGTTGAAGTTCGATACTGTCCTGAATTTAAATGACTCTTACTATGTAAACAAAACAGCTTCATGATTTATACAGAACAACTAAAAATGTTTAATGACTGTTCATTTAATCATTGCTTTCAGTTTTAAGCAAATGATGTCATTAAAATAAATCATTTTTACAAAATTGTAAGGTCTAAAAATCTAATTGTCCTTATTGTATAGATATTTTAAAAGTTATTGCTAGAAATCAATTCAAATTTTAAACTGACAATCATTTATTTATATTAATGTCTATAGCAGCTGTAACATATGCTGCCTGATATGATGACATTAAAAATTCAATGATGCACAAAATATAAAATGAATAAAAATATCTCCATAGACAATCATTCCATAATTGGGGAAGATTCTAAACTATTTCCGTATTTATTACAGTTTAGGTTTATTTATTTTGCTACTCTTCAGTTTGGTTTTTGTTGCCATACATAAAGGAGTCATGATTTAATTCACATTGTTAATTTTTTGAGTTCATTCTGTAGTTTTTTCATCCCTGGTATTTCTGCTTTAAATTGCTAAGTATTTGTTGGACTGTGACAGTGTGGGAAGAACTAAAAAAAAATCTCTGGATAAAATCAGTTTTTAATGTATTAAAATAAGAATGAGACATTTATTTCATATGATTATTTTGACTTATGACGTACTGCTTCATTAATGATTATAAAATCTTTAATTTTGATTTTAGCTTGTTGTCTTTTGCTCTTGTGTTAACATAAAACTTCATCTTATTTGCATACCTAACTTTGTTTTTCCTTTTGTTTAGGGAATGTTTTCCTAAAGCATGGCTCGGAACTACGAATAATTCCTAGAGATCGTGTTGGGAGTTGTTAGTTTCTGCTGAATGGAAATTTACCATTATCGTTCCGAATAAATATTGATATTTATTTTGTAATGTTGCATTTGGACTATCTACAATTTTATGTACCTATTCCTATAAGGACACTGACCTTTTACATTAAAGAAGGAATACATCCCGTGAATAAAACAGCTGCCTTAAGAAAGAAGCCAACCTCTCCTCTGCTACCTCACTACATTTATGAAAGAAGTTTCCATTTAGTTTTAAAATAGAAAGATGATATTACTGAGAACTAATTGTTTTCCCAGTAAAATAAGAAAATTAAGATTTCTTGAGTTTAAAATCATGTGTCAACCATAGATTAAATTATTTGTCTGAGTTACAAATAAGAATTGCCAGAGAACATAGAAAGAGGTGAATAAGTATGTATATTTTAAATAGGGTTTAAGGTGAGAATAACAGATGAAGTGATTAACATGTAAACAGTTGTATTGATTGTCATTTGGGTTTTCTAAGTCTTGACTCCAGTTTTTCATTTGGATTTCCAATTAACTCAGAAGTACCATCAACTGAACAATTTGAACTTATTCTAATTATGGAAAATGGCACTTCACACCAGCTAGTCTACCTATATTCCTACAGAATTGAATGTAGTTAGTAGTGGGAATTTAAAGTAAATTTTATGTATCTGTTGCTGAGTTACAATAAGTATATTCTAAGAACTGTCATATAATCATGATCTTTTGAGGTGGATAACTCTGCATTGAAGTCTGAAAGAGAATGAATACCATCGAGAAGACCTGAAATCACACAAAGCCCAAAGAAGTGCCATGATCTACCCTTTAGTGTACTGAACCCAAAGTTCAAGGAGTCAGGCAGAGAAAAAGGAGACAGTTTAAGCACCATGATCACAGAAAACAGAAAAGTCAAGTTAAAACTGAGGTGGTAGGAACGAAAGAAAAGAGCAAGTCATACGGGAGATAAAAAGTAACTTCAGAGTGACCCACAAAATCCAGAAGGAATGAGAATGAGTGCCAGAAGTGTCGAAATGAAAAAAAACAAAGCAGCAACAGAGTAGAGAAGAAAAAAGTAAATACTAGATTATGTAAACAAGCAGCAGAAGAGAGCCAGATATATACTCTTTTAACTACTGTAGAGGATAAAACATTTTGTATGCCTTTCCAGAAACCTATAAGGAAAAGAAGAGATAAACTCTTAAAGAAGAAGGAAACAGTTTATCATAGGAAAGTGTTAACACACGGGCATAATGCTTAGTATGTTGGCTCATGTACACAGTATGAAATAAAGGCTCAGAAAAAAAGTAGCTTAAATTCTTTGTTATTTTGTAGTAAAACACAGCTGGTGTACACAGCTGTGTTTGGCAAATGCATAAATTAGCACCCCTAAACCAAGTTTTTTTTATTTGTTTTCAGTGATATCATCCCATGATGCTCCAGTTTCTGAACTAATGCTCATTGAAAAGGCAAAAGATTCTTATAAAAAATTCAACTTATCTAGCCATGTGTATTTTCTGAAGGATGTTTTTGGTATTGTAAAGTTATATATGACATTAGAAAGCTAGATTTGATTGATCTTAATTATGACTAAGGCACAGCAAGATTCTTAGCCATCACAATGTTGTTAGCTTAGTAAAGGCAGTAAAATTATGACAAAAAAGTGAATTGTTAATATTTTTTAAAAGTTTTTACTTAAAAGAATTAAACGTTAGCCATTAGTTACACAGACCCATACCCTAAGCATTCCAATTAATCAAGGTTATACTTTAATACTGTTTAGAAGTCAAAATATGCTTGCATTTATGTGCTGCAGAGAAAAAAAATGGTGCAATGAAATAATTTCCATTATGTTTTAATTTGTTAATATTTGTGTTCTCATTAAAGGTAAATTACATCAAAACTTGTGTTTATTTTTTCATTAAACACGTTTATATTTGTTCTCTTTAATAAGATATGATTTAGAATTTCTTTAAGTAGAATTCTTGTGATGACTTAAGTTCCTGATTTTAAAATTAAGCAAATGTAATGCTTTCTGAAAATGTTCTATCTGCCTTGTGTTCTAACAAAGAGTACCCTTTTACCTGGCATATTTATGAAATTGTTTAGGCCTACTGTTGAAAAAGAAGTTATCTCAGGATAATGTGCTAAAAATAAAATGTTTGAGTATGCTGTTTTGTTTGCTTTTTTTTCCATCATGAAAGTAGACCTTAGAGAATTGTAGAATATTAGCCCACAAAGGAATTTTGGAGATTAACCTAGGCTGAGCACCTTATTTTACAAATAAGGAAAGCAAGACCCAAAAAGGTTGATTAGTAGCTCCCTATGTTAGAGCTAGTGAATAGCATGGCCAAATCTAGTATCTAGGCTTCCTGATTTCCAGTTCAATGATTTTTCCATTATGTCATACTGTAGTCACCAAAACAGACACACACGCACACACACACACATACCCTCTGAAATTTCTGCTAACCACCTACCTTGCTGGTAGCAAGATTTCCTTTAAATTTCTTAAAAACAAAATTTGTTAACATCTTTTTTGTGAGGCTAATGTTAAAAGGATTTAAGGAAAATTTTTAAATGTATTCTTAATAGTACACTCTAATATTTAATTCCAAAAGACTATAGGTTAGGTGGGTAGCAAAAAATGTGTTTTAACCCATTTACATATTGCTTTGGGTTTACTCAAAATAGGCTAGCCTATGTTTAACAAACAGACCCAGCTTAAATGACTTGTCTGAGGTCACTGATATTATTAGAGAAGGAATTGAAATTGGAACCTTCTGTCATGTTCTCTGTGTTTTCCACCTCGACATACTCCTTTTAATCCAAGGATAGAAGCACTTAAGCTTATCATGAATGACATAGGCCTTCAGTCTGCCTCAAACTATAACCCATTCTTCAACGCAAAAGATAGCCCTCTCCCCCCAAAAAATGGTATCTATTAAGCTTCTGCTTTGCACAAGGTGCAACACTAGGTACCAGGTATACTGGTTTGTTTTTTTTTTTAAATTGGTACTCTACATAAATAACTGACCTGAAAGAACAAGTATTTCCCCAGGCCTAGATGGTTCCATTTAAGAGATTTAGCTTGGATATTTAAAATTTTTTTTAAAAGGGTTCTGGAATTTAAATGTTCAATTCAGAACAGAACTAATATTGTAAATGTGACTAATGAAGGTCTAGGACATCAGAGCAGAACCAATAGAATGAAATAACTGAAGTGATGGCTGGAATAGTTTCTTAAGCACAATTTGGGCAGTGGAATAACAAACTTGAGAAGCTAAATTTAATCTCATTTTCTTGGAAAGCTATTGATGTAAGACATTGAAATCATTTTGATTTTATTTTCCTGGAGGAAAAGGTCCTTTGAATAACTTAATCAAAACAATTCATTCTGTGCTTCAGATTGCAATCTTACCTTCCTAAGTAGAAAATTGGGGTGTTTTTTGTTTTTCTTAGTTGAAAATGAGGTCTCCATTAAAGCCTCATTCTGAAGTTTCATCATGGTAAAAAGGTGAACCTTAGTTTTCCAAGGCCAAATCAATAAGGCCAGGCAAGTTCTACAAAATAGGAAGTACAAGTCTATCAAGCCTAGCTTACTTGAGAAAGGCTGGATAATTAGCACCATTTTGCAAATGAAACTAAATCTCAGAGAGATTAAATGATTTGCTTCATAATGTATGATGGTTACATAATGAGTGTGAGACTATGTTCAAGCCCAAGTCTTCAAGAGCGGCACTTTACCCTACTCTTTCATGCTACCTTACTGGGGTGGGTCAATAGTAGCATGTAATGATACTCCGTGAGGATTGGCAACTGATTAGATAGAAGGCATGAGTAAGAGGGAAAATTCAAGGATGTAGTTCCAAGGTTGTGAAAATAAATGACTGCAGGATGGTAAAATGAAATCTTACTACAATGGAAAATGCCAACATTTTAACATTTAACATACAAGTGTTATTTCCCATTCTGACTGAAACTCTAATGGAGAACTACAGTCACCAAGACTGCATTCTAGGGACCAATGTTCAACATGTGTTTTGAGTAATATGTAAGAAAATATTTAGTGTGTTTTCAGAAGTTTTAAGGATAACCCACCAAAATCAAAGAAATAATCTGACTAATTTCCCTGCTCTTTTCCTCCACTCCTACTCCTCCCTTCCAATTAAATAAAAATATTGCTTCTTGAAAATACGAATTTGTAAATAATGTGAGTAATTGGGAAACTATGCATTTGGACCATTTTATACTAAGTCTTTAAAATTTGGACTATTTTATAATCAGTCTTGAAGATTAATGTCTGAAATTTCAGATTGAAATTACAAAAGTATGCAGTGCATGATTCCATGAATTCTCCAAGTACACAATAACTTTTCAACAGATATAAAACCTAATGTAAATGATCAGTTGTTTGCCAAATGGAAAAGGAAATCCAAAAGATTACTGAAGAAAATACTTCCTTAAAAATTAGAATAGAGCAATTGGAAGCTAGTGACTTTATGAGAAATCAAGACACTGCAAAACAAATCCAAAAGAATGAAAAATTAGAAAACAGTGTGAAATATCTCACTGGAAAAACAACTGACCTGCCAAATAGATCCAGGAGAGAGAATTTAAAAATTATTGGACTATCTGAAAGCCATGATCAAAAAAAGAGCCTAGACATCATCTTTCAAGAAATTATCAAGGAAAACTGCCCTGACATTTTAGAACCAGAGGGCAAAATAGAAATGGAAAGAATCCACTGATCTCCTCCTGAAAGAGATCCCCAAAGGACAACTCCTAGGAATATTGTAGCCAAATTCCAGAGTTCCCAGGTCAAGGAGAAAATATTACAAGCAGCCAGAAAGAAACAATTCAAGTATTATGGAAACACAATCAGGATAACACAAGATTTAGCTGCTTCTACATTAAGGGACTGTAGGGCATGGAATATAATATTCTGGAAGGCAAAGGAGATAGGATTACAACCAAGAATCACCTACCCAGCAAAACTGAGTATAATCCTTCAGGGGGAAAATATGGTCATTCAGTGAAATAGAGGACTTTCAAGCATTCTTGATGAAAAGACCAGAGCTGAATAGAAAATTTGACTTTCCAATACAAGACTCAAGTTGACCATGAAGAGGTAAACAGGAAAGATAAATCATAAGAGACTTATTAAGGTTGAACTGTTTACCTTCCTGCATGGAAAGATGATATTTGTAACTCATGAAACCTTTATCAGTATTAGGGTAGTTGGAGGGAAAAAATGATATGTATGTATATAGATAGATAGATAGATAGATAGATAGATAGATAGATAGATAGATAGATAGATAGAGAGGGAGAGAGAAGGCACAGGGTGAGTTGAAGATGAAGGGGTCATATCTGGAAAATAAAATTAAGGGGTGAGAGAGGATTGTACTAGGAGAAGGGGAAAAGGAGAGGTAGAATGGGGTAAATTATCTCACAAAAAATAGAAAAGAAAAGGCTCTTACAATGGAGGGGAAAGGGGGAAGGTGAGAGAGAATGAGTGAATCTTATTCTCATAGGATTTGATTTAAGGAGAGAATAACATACACACTCAATTGGGTATGGAAATCTGTCTTACCCTACAGGAAAATGGGGGGGGGGGAAGGGAACAAGAGAGTAGGGGGATGATAGAGAGAAGGGCAGATTGGGAAAGGGGGTAATCAGAAGCAAATAATTCTGAGGAGGGACAGGGTCAAAAGAAAGAATAGAATAAAATGGAGGGGCAGGATAGGATTAAGGAAAATAGAGTTAGTTTTTCACAGCATGTCTACTATGGAAGTGTTTTGCATAATTGCACATGTATAGCTTATATTGAGTGGCTTGCCTTTTCAATGAGGGTGAGTGGGGAGGGAGAAAGGGAGAAAATTTGGAACCCAAAGTTTTAAAAACACATGTTTAAAAAAAATGTTTTCACATGCAACTGGGAAATAAGAAATACAGGAAATGGGGTACAGAAATCTATCCTGCCCTATAGGAAAATAGAAGGGGAAGGGGTTAAGAGAAGGGGGGGAGAGATA